TAGCTACTAAACGAGCAAACAATAACAAGTGAATTTAAACAAACTTAATTGTCTCTTTTCTTGTTAACAGTTAAAATTTTTTTATGACTCAGATTGAAAAAATCTGATCAAAACTGTGTGTTGTTAAAATATTTCGGTATGTGATTGTCATTATAAACAGATTATGTTCTCATATTAACTAACCTCATATGATTAAGTCAACATCGATTACAGAAAACTGATAAATTCGATTTATCATAGTTGAAAGTGTGAGTCAATTGAAGTTAGACCACCAGGGAAAACCTGGAAGCACTGGACGGTCCTCTCATCATATTGTGGGACTCCTCAGCAGTACGCATCCACGACCTCGCCTCGCGAGATTCGAACCCAGGACCTACCAGTCTCGCGCCAGGGCACTGAGCCGGCATCCCATGGTGTTTATGCCTAACTTCAACCAATCCACGAAGTTGATTTAATCAAATAATTATTAGTGTGGTGTGTATTACTGATGTCGACAGATATAAGTAGTATGCATCATCGATCAGAAGTGAAATGCCTGTGGGCAGAAGGTTAAGAAAATTGAAGGGAAAAGAACGAGAATAGAGAATGATTTGTATGGAAATGAAAGAACAACGAAGTCTGAGACGATTGATTGACATTTTGCAAATGAAGTATTTACTGTATGATTCTCAGATTTTACTAAGGCATTCTGTAATTTTGACTTCAAATACATCCGTTTGTCCTGATTGATGTTCTTGTTAACTAACATGGGTTTCCTTAAAGTCAACTGCCACCAAATGCCCTGGTATGGCTGAGAGTGGGGAAAGTCCACTCTTCCTCTCGAAACGCTCTCACATGGCCACACGTATATAGCCTCTGCCAGGGAAGTCCTACTCTCTCCCTTCTCACAATGGTGGGGGTGTTTACGAAATTGAGAGGACGAAAAGCGAATGTCCGGAACTTTAATCGGGTTGGTGGACATGGAGGGTCCACCTAGGGGAGTTGGAGAACCTCGATTCCAAACCAATGGTGCACATAGGCTCCAGTATCCTGAGGGAACAAATGGCGTATGAATCAATTGTTGGTCACCGGCTACTGCATCTCCTTACAATGCTCCACTGCCTGTCTGCTACTTTACATACTTGCTTAAATTCTTATAATTTCAATTTATTCCGTTTTCACAAGGTTACAGAAAACAATATATATGGATTTGTAGTATGGGAGGTTTGTTGAGATTATAGGATTTCCATAGTTTAAATTACATGCTGATCTGAGCTGGATCACTATCTTATGCTCAACAGTGACTAGGTTCAAGTTATAACTCCTGGAGTCCTAGTGTGATGGTGTGATCAATAGAGCTCAACCGTTTTGATGTGGGACAGTTATTTGCCTCAAGCAATGAATGATGATTAAGTAGTATCGTGGATTTGTTGAAGTTAGGCATTAGCACTATACTAAACGAGAACTCAGGTGGGGTAAAGAGGATTTATTGCTTAACGCGAAATTAAAAAGTGGCTTCCCAATATATGAAAAACACATTTTAAATACATCGTCTGTACATCTTCCTTCAGTTGTCCTTTATACGCTCCATGATTCTTTCAGTCATTACTACAATTGTTCTCTGCCTCCCTTCAATTCAATCATCTCAACCTTCTGCTGGCAGGCATACCACATATGATTGCTGCTACATACTATTTATATCTGTCAGCATAGGTAGTACACACCACATCATCATTGAATTCCGACTCAGCAGTTTAGAGATTAGGCATTGAAGCGAAAACTGGCGGTTCTGAGTTCGATTACCGGATGCGGGTTCGTGGATATCTACTAAGATGAAATGAACATCCAGTACTGAGAAAACTGATGCAGCTAGTGGGTTTTCGCCCGAAATTACCCTTTATTATAGTCTGAGACTGTAATACTGACTTAATAAAATCACAACTGATTTCTTGTAGAACTGAGATACTAAGTACAAAGAATCTCATACTCGTTTAGTCCTAGGTGCTGATCGAATCCCGTCAATCAGAATGCAACGTGGTCTGTAGTTCAAGTGGATCTATTCTAGACTAAGAGCATCAAGAAATAACACACACGATGTCAATTCACCCAGACTAATAACCAAATCATCAGTGAATCGACGAAATACTATTGGTGTTGGAAACTAAACTAGCATTACATTGAAAATCAATCAATATAAATGAGGTAATAGTATGATTAGTATCATCAATGTTTCAAGGTAAAATGACCTTGTTTTATCTTGATATGTAGTGTAATAGTCTACAATGTCAGTTATTTATAATCAACGAATAGTCTGACAAAAATTTGTGCCAGCTCAAGTTGCCAAGAGAATCGAAATAATACGCCAGTGTAAACACTAAATATCAAGAATATGGTCCAAAAAGACTAAAGGTAATAGGAATAGAACAACTGGAACTTAAGATCTACAGGAGAATAAAAAGTAAATGCATTTAAGCTTCTGTGACCAATTCCAAGTTATATCATCCAACGTCTCCAACGGTTTGTCGAGGTTACTACACGAATTCAGACCAGATAACTATAATTAATGTTTATTATCTAATCCAATGGTAAATTGACTTAGTATTGTTTGTTTGAATCTTCCCATTGATGTTTAGGAATGCGACTGGTTAGTCTCTAATTGGCATATGTGTATACTGTGCGTATTGCCTCTATATAGCCTAAATTCACAAGCATGGTAAGCAAAGATGGATAGTGGTTAGCAATTGAATCCTTCTTTGCTTACCATGCTTGTGAATTAAGGCTATATAGAGGCAATACGCACAGTATGCTCATATGCCAATTAGAGACTGAACAGTTGCAGTTCTAACACATCAATGGGAAGATTCAAACAAACAATACTAAGTGAATTTAAACTTCACTCCATTGCACAAGCAAGTAGCTATCATGACTCAGTAGCTGAGTGGATAACGCGATGACGTTTGAATCGAAAGTTACTGGGTTCGAGTCCCAGAGTGATCATCAACTGTGAGATGCAGGTACATCCAGTTGACGAGTCTCAAATAGGACGAAACGTGCGTGAAAGTGGATTCCACTGCTAGCCACTAGTCATCTTTGCTTACCATAAATTCAATGGTGTTTCTTTAAACAATCTCTGTGAAATGCAAAACTTTTTAATTAAAAAACAAAACATGTATTACTTCATAACTGTTTCTAATTGCATTATTGATCTACCCATTCTGATAAACCTATGAAGCCAACAATCAGAAACTATCATGAATGACGTCGGTTTAATATTTACTATCAGAAGGGAGGGGGGTTATGGTGATTTTATTAATTTAATAGTTGAATTTATGAGTCAATTAAAGTTAGACCACCATGGGAAATCTGGAAGCACTGGATGGCCGTTTCGCCCTAAATTCTAAAATTATTCATATTGAAACTTATTGAAATCATAAACTGACATTAATTTGAATAGCATTGAATAATGAATGGTATGTACCTATAGATGACAGACGCATTTTCAGTAGGGACCGGAATCAGACAAGGCTGTCTACTCTCCCCCTTCCTCTTTCTTATGGTGATTGACTGGATTATGAAGACTTCGACATCTGAAGGGAAGCACGGAATACAATGGACATCTCGGAACCAATTAGATGATTTGGACTTCGCAGACGACCTAGCCCTCTTATTTCATACACACGAACAAATATAGACGAAGACAACAAATGTAGCAGCAGCCTTTGCATTAATAGGCCTCAACATACACAAAGGAAAAATAAAGATTCTCAAATACAACACGGAGAATGTCAAACCAATCACACTTGATGGCGAAACTCTGGAAGAGGTGGAAACATTCATGTACCTGGGAAGCATCATTGATCAACAAGGAGTATCTGATGCAGGCGTAAAGACGAGGATCGACAAAGCAAGGGCAGTATTTCTACAATTGCAGAACATATGGAATTCAAAACAACTGTCGACCAATATCAAAGTGATAATCTTCAATACGAACGTCAAGACAGTCCTGAAACGTGGAGAACTACTACAACCATCATCAAGAAGGTACAAATATCTATAAACAGTTGTCTACTCAAGATACTGAATGTTCGTTGACCGGATACAATTAGTAATAGTCTACTGTGGGAAAGACGTTGGAAATGGATAGGTCATACATTAAGGAAATCACCAATATTCATCACGAGACAATCCCTAACTTGGAATACGAAAGGGATGCGGAAAAGAGGAAGACCAAAGAAAACGTTACGTCGGGAAATAGAAGAAGGTATGAAAAAGGTGAATAACAACTGGAAAGGATTGTCCAGGACAGGGTTGAATGGAGAATGCTGGTGAGCGGCTTATGCTCCTCGACGAGCGGTAACAGGCGTAAATAAGTAAGTATTGTACCTATAACTCTATAAGTGATTGAACCTAGAAACTAAGAAGTCATTTAATGAAGTCTACATTATACAATTTCAATTTATAGTTTAACTATGTGCCTATATCAGATAAATGGATGAATTCTTTTACTCTCTTTCTCTCTCTTAACATTTCATTCTGTCTATTAACTTATCACATTATGATAGAATGATACCGCGATTACATAATCCTAAATAAATAATGAATAATCAGAAGGGGGGGTTTTGTGGAGATTTTAGTAATTTTTTATAGTTGAATTCATGAGTCAACTGAAGTTAGGGGAGTAAAACCGGATCTGTTGTGAGATAGTAATTCACTGAAGATAATTGGTGAATGGTTGCTCAATTTCGTGGATTGGTTGAAGTTAAACATTAACACCATTGGATACCGGTTCAATAGTCTAGAGGTTAAGCGCTCACGTATGAGACTGATAAACCCTCAGTTCGAATCTTGCGAGGTGAGATCATGGATACATACTGCTGAGGAGTCTTACAATAGGACGAAACAGCCATCCAGTGTTTCCAGGTTTTCTATAGTAATCTAGCTTCAATTGACTCTTGAATTGAACCAAAAAATAATGAATTATACCCTATTCAATACTTAAAATAAATCTAACAAACACTTACCCATAATAAATAAATGATTATAATTAAATTAACATTATTACTGGAAGGGTATTTGAATTACATTAATGTAAAGGTGTGTTCTTTAATGTGTACACTATTTTATTGATTTATTGACATTTAAATTGGTAAAGACACAATGATGCACAATTTTATCTATAACAAATTTGATTGGTTGATTTCATATATAATAAAACTATTTATTCGATTACATATACTACTTAAATTAGCTGAATTATTTTTTTCTGGTTAGCGTTTTTTTTGTAGCGAGTTAGTTTCCTTACGGGATGGGGTTGTTAACCCTGTGTCCAAACCTCCTCCTTTACTCGGTCTTGGGACCGGTAGTAATGCTAGAAGAGCTATAGGATGAATAACAACTGGAAAGAACTGGAAAGGATGTATCCAAGACAGGGTTGGATGGAGAATGTAGGAGGGAGGCCTATGCTCCTCCATGAGGGTTAACAGGCGTAAGTAAGGAAGGAAGGAAGGAAGTAACTTAAATTATCGAATATATTTGATTCTTAGGCATAAATTAGTAAGTAATTAAAGATGACACATTAAATGTACAAATAGTATCTAAGTGAAGTGACTATTCTTAAAACAATTTGAAACCTAGATCTACTGTTATCTGATAGATTGGATGAAAAAAAAACTCACTTAGAATTGTTCGTTTGAATCTTCCCATTGATGTTTTAGGACTGCAAATGGTCAGTCTCTTATTGGCATATGTGCTACTGCGCGTATTGTTTCATCCCATTGCACAAGCAAGTGGCTATCAGGACTCAGTGGCCGAGTGGATAAAGTGATGGCGTTTGAATCGAAAGTTACTGGGTTCGTGTCCCAGAGTGAACATCAACTGTGAGATGCAAGTATATCCAGCTGACGAGTCCCAAATAAGATGAAATGCGCGTCCTTGGTTCCACTGTTAGCAACTATCCATCTTTGCTCATAAATGAAAGTTTTATCAAAAGGGGTGGAAACACTGGATGGCCGTTTCATCCTATTGTGAGACTTCTCAGCAGTAGTGGATGGTTGCTCAATTACGTGGATTTGTTGAAGTTAAACATAAACACCGTTGGATGCCGGCTCACTGGTCTAGAGATTAAGCGTTCGTGCGTGAGACTGATAGATCCTGGGTCCGAATCTGGCGGGATGAATCGTGGATGCGCACTTATGAGGAGTACCACAATAGGACGAAACGGTCACCTAGTTCTTCCAGGTTTTCTATGGTGATCCAGCCTCAAATGACTCATGAATTCAAATATAAAATAAAAGTTTGCTAGAATTGAACATGTAGTTTTAAGAAGATAGTAAATCAGGGTAATCTAGGAAATATCATAATAATCAGGATAAATGAAAAATGTCAGTGTTAACAATTGATCATTGAAATGAAAGGTGCTTAAAAATGTTTAATTTATCTCCACCATTTAACTGAGATTATTTAGCAATATCAAAACTTTCCATTTCCCTTAAAAGTAATATAACGTCAGTCGAAGAACTGGGTTTTAGTTGGCTAGCTGAAGCTAATCTCAATGAAGTTATACTCTAGTGTATGCTACTGCTGTCAATTGAAGCTAGATCATCATGGGAAACCTGGAAGCAGTGGTTGGCAGCTTCATCCTATAGTGGCACTCCTCACAAGTGCGCATCCATGATTTCCCCTGTGAGATTCGGACCCAGGATCTATCAGTCTCGTGCGTGAGCGCTTAACCTCTAGACCACTGAACCGGCATCCAATAGTGTTAATGTTTAACTTCAACCAATCCACTAAATTGAGCAACCATTCACCACTATCTTCAGAGAGTTGATATCTCCCAATCAAAATCATAATAGGTGTGAAAATATCGAAGTCATGTTATTCATGGTCAAAGTGAATTTGTATGACCTGTATTATATGAATTTATGTGTTAGAATGTGGACATGAAAAATGTACATAATATGTAATATGAAGTTAAGGGTTGAAAGTGTGTGTGTATGTGGGTAAATTATGTGGAAAATAAATTAAGTCAAATGTGGTTGTTTGGATAAACAGTCTAGGCCTTCTTTCCAAGTGAGGGCAGAGGGATTTAGCATTATGTGAGACGTTTCGGCTACTCGCCTATCTTTATATCAATAGCATATACTGCTATTGCTGATCTAACCTGAGGATTTTCTAGTTCTGCAAAACCATTAAGTCTTTTTGTGCCACTTAAGTTTTCCATGGCACGAGTCGAGATCTCACAAAAAGACTCTTCAATGTAGAACGTATCACGATCGGTACAACCTAATCTGTAAACACAATTTTGTGTAGAACTGAGCGAGATCTTATCTTTCATTCTAACTAAGGCGTTTCTTAGAGTGTTAGTTGTCACAATTGATTGATCACTGGGTGATGATCAATGTCATGCATGTCAAGTCCTTCTTAGTGCTGATCGAATGCTGTCGATCAAGTTGCAATGTGGCCACCAGTCTAGGTGGCTCGACACTGACTGTGAAGCTGAGTGACACAGGATCGAATCCGTCAGGGAGCATCAGTTCCCTCAAAGATTACAGGTACACTTTGCTGACGAGTGCCAAGTAGCACGAAACCCGGATCCAGGGTTTCCTGTTGACCACCTCCAACCACCACCTTACCTCAATAGTGTTAGTTGTCTTATAGAAAGCTTTAAGTTTGTTTGTTCACAATATTTGTTGTAATTATTCTGTCATATTTTGTTATTTACAGTGAGACAGTTTTGTTTTATGAAATCGTAGGATGTTTATTATATTCTCTCTTTCTTTTAACTTGCCTTCGTCTGAAGGAATGATCTTAGTTGCTCTTCAGAAAACATTCACGGCTAGGATATTTTTCGCATTGAATGGATATACAAAGTTAAAATCAATATACGGATCTGAATGTGTCGGTTTTCGGTATATAAAGCTAGATTTAGACTATCACTAGAATTCCTTTTAACTAAACAGTTGAAGAATGATAATTCACTATGTTCATCTTCTTGTTCAAAAGTGAATTTGGTATGTTCTGAAAGTACGTTTATGTGTTTGGAGAAGTTTCTAAGAAGAGTATTTTTTGATAACGACAAGTGTGCTATCTACATATCTGAGCCAGATGCGTGATCTGATGGTGCTGACAAAAATAGGCAACTCAATGTGGGATATAAATAAATTTGTAAAATCGGAGATACTGGGGATTCCATGAGTACTTATTATATCCCCCGGTGAATTACGAATGGTAACTTTTAGGTCTATTTATGGATCAATGTAATATGCCTATTTCCTATTGTACAATTATTACGTAACTGAACTATTCATATTCGTGTCTCTCTTATCATTAGCTTTATTTTGACCATTGACTTATTATCATACGATTCTTGAGTTATAATCAGTTTTATTGATTACTTTGGTTTGTATAAAAACTCAGTGTGTTTGTAAATAATGATTCATATTGCCGAGTCTGTTATTTGCGTTCTGGACTTAACTGGCTGGGCTAGGCAGAAAGCAGGGTCTGATACGCACTCAAAACTGCTCGTACGTATTTCCTGTATCATCGGACGCATATATATATATATATAGAGGACAAATTCATACGTTATAACAGTACTCCATTCGTTTTTTACATAAAGTCCCTTTTGAAAGTGAAAAGTGTTAAATTGAAGTAAAACTTGAGGGATATCATAATTGAACTAATGCTTAATGGACATCTTCTAAATAGAGTATGATCATTCTCTAGTAAACTATTAACGATGTGTAGCCATTTATCAATTGGAATATTAGTGTATAAAGAAACAATATCAAAGCTTACCATTGTTTCGTATTTGTTGATAGATAATTCCGAGATCTTTGATTTGAATTCGTTTGGATTCTTTACGACATTGATTAGATTGTGTTGAAGTGGCCTCAGTATTTAGCTTACATAAAACTTATGTAGGAGTATTTGTGAAGTCCACTATGGGTCTTAAAACAATGTCAGACCTTGTTTATTTACCACACAATCTACGCACACACACACACACATACACTTTCAACCTTACTATTTCATATTACAAATGAGTACATTTTTCATATCCACATTCTGACACACAAATTAATACAATGACAGATAATAAAAATTCACTTTGAACATGTATAACTTAACTTCGACATTTTCACACCTATTATGATTTCGTGGATTGGTTGAAGTTAGACTGAGTGGTCCAGATGTTGAGCGTTAGCGCGCAAGACTGATAGGTCCTGAGTTTAAATCTCTCGGGAGAGGGATCTAGGATGCGCTCTGCTGAGGAGTCCCACACTAGGATGAAGCAGCCGTTCAGTGCTTCAAGGTTTTCCATGGTGGTCCAGCTTTAATTGACTCATGATTTCAACTATAAAACTACTAAAAAGTCTTCACAAAACCCCATTCTGATGTTGTGATTTTGATTGAACTAAAAATATTTTTCATTGTTTCCTTTGTACTATTTAAACTTGTGTTAATTTAATGTTGGTTATTTGTTTACTCTGAAGAAATGACTTACACTGCGTGGCGAAACACCAGAAATATGTTTTTTTTACTCATTGGGATATAATAAAACAATATATTTGTTATTAAATCCCTCTGGCCCATGCTCAATTTATTTGAAACTACTAAGTCCAGCCTTGACCACAAGTGGGTTTGTCCGGATTACTTCTTATACTTTAAGATACATGACAGTAAGTGGTTGTGAAGAATGTTTAGTTTCATTGGATTTATAAACTAACCAATGTTAGGCAACCAATGAAAATCTGCAAACACAGGACAGACATTTCCTCCTAGTATAGGACTATTTAACAATGCTCATCCATGAATCCACATTCGGTAATCGCCCACAAACTCTTAATCTCTAGACGATTGAGTCAGCATTCAACGGTGTTAATATCTAACTGCAATCAATCCATTATAATGAAAGACCATCTTCCATTATAGGTAGTGGGTAGCTGCCTCAACAGGACACCGATTGAACTACACTGACCACAAGCTCTCAATACAATTCCAGAAATTTCCTCTCGAGTTCAAAC